CCTCAAAAGACCAGAATAATTCTCTAGAATAAGACCCTAAATAAAATCTACTTAATTGTTTACCTGAGAAGATCCCTCTGAATGATTAAGCAGCGAAGATAGTCAGCCATTTTCTTCTGCATTAATGCTAAGCGTAGCCAGGCACGGGCACGGCCCAGGGGTGTCCTGAGAAGGGGGAACGGAGAAAACAAAGTCCAAGGCCAATAATACATTAATTTGTCTTAATTGTCTCTATCAACCTACTTACAGCCTCCTCTTCTAGCGCCTGCACATGCAAAATGTAGCGAGCACATAAATGCAAAATAAATCTATGTTGTGTCAAAATAGCAAGTGTGATACTTGGTATTCTATCATCCAGACTGACAAAAGAGTGGATAATAACTTAATGCACGTTTGCACTTCAGACAAGATCTAAAGCAGTGAATAAGTTACTTTTATGCTGTCATAATATAACCAATATATGTTTTCTTGCTGAGTATTACCATTACCACTTACTTGAGGCCAGGTAAATCTCTGACACTTGCTGCTATTTCCTCAGCTTCTGGATATAACTTCTCCACAAGTTCTAGAGGGCCCCAAATAGTTTTATTGTAACTTAGAAAGGATTTTCTTACTAGCAAAAGGAAAGAGAATAACAAAGTTAGCTTATGTTATTGGAGTAGCTTTCTTTAAAATAACTGCTGACATTGGTGAACTGATTACTTATGTTAAGAATTATTTTGCTGTGACCATAAAATTGCTAGTGCTGGAAAACAACAAATGCAGGAGGTGCGACTAACTATAAACATAAGTAACATACATGCAGTCCTGGTAATCTCTGGATTATTTACAGTAACAAATGGTTTACAAAAGGAAAAGTTGGGGAAGATATGTTGCAAAGAACTAGAAGTGACAACTGATTAAAAAAGGTGACAATTTACACATTTTATTTACTTTTGAAAAGTATTCCAAGGCACCGTGACTTTATCACATAGAAGAAAAAAAACAAAGGAAAAATGTTAAAGAATGGAAAACTGCCAAGCGTGGTATGAGAACCATGCAGGCAGAACAGTTGCCACACCTTTAAGGCCATGCTTCAGGCAGTGCTCCATGACAACAAAGAACTGCTGCAAAGGAGGGTAGTCGGAATCCAGAGTGCGGCCAAAGCTCAAAGCTGATTCAATAAGTCCTTTGATACTCAGTTTAGCCATGTTTAGTAAATTCGCTCTTTCCACAGCTGTAGGGTCTTTTACAGCTACGACATGAAAGAAAAATGGTTGTGGTTCAAATTTTAGAAGATGCACAATAAAATGACTTGTGTCTCTTTTTTAAAAAAACTTAATGTAGATAATGGAAAATTTACCAAGTGCTACAAAGAACCATGTTACAGAACAACATATACTGCAGAACACACACTTTTACGGTTCTTACATTGTTTTAATAGCTGAGTGAACAAACAAGGCTGGAAACATTAGTTCTCTATTACATTACTGTCTCAGTTCATACTGGTCGTGGTCAGTAACTAAGACTCAGTTTAAATCAGGCACCAAAACTGTGCTCAAACACTCAGCTGCACAACAGGCATCAGTGCTAGCACCATGATGTCAAAGGTGCGTTGATACTCATGACCTCATACCTCTCATGACATCATACCTCTCTTGTGTTTCTGTGGTGATCCTCATGCCACAGTGACAAAAAACACGTGCTTTCCTTTTTATGTAGTCTCAATGAGTAAAACTGGAGTAGGTCCAGGAAAACAGAACACATGAACATTGGGTTTTGAAGAACTGAGATTTAAGTCACTCACACGATTACAAAGTATTTCCTACACAGAAAAGTTTACGAATACTAAAAAGTGTTGCTTTGAAAGTTTTGCTTAAAAACACCTACAGTAAGCTTACAAAATGTAACAGTACAAAATGCAGATTTGTGGATTAAACCTGATCAGTAAAATATCGGGTTTTTAAAATTTTTCTAATCTGACAAGATGGACACAGCTCCTCTTCCTAAACTTCCAGCTACTGAATCCAGAGTGTTCAAGAGATTTTTAGTTTATTTTCATTTTCTTTCTTTCTTTTTCTTTTTTTTCCTCAAATAAAGCCCTTTAATTCAAGACAATTTAATTGCCAAGCTGAAACAGAAACAAAACAACCCTCTGTTTATTCAAAACACAAGCTGATTAATTTGGGAAGTAGCCAAGAAAGTTTGGATTTGCTGATTTCTGCTATTTGCAATTAAAACTAACAGACTGAAGTGCAAATAAGAAAGCTAACAACATTTTTTTTTAAAATGCACTGAGCCACAGATGTTAAAATAGGTGCACATATTTGGGTTTGAGGAAAACTGAGAACTTCTTCCTTCGCAAATCGAAGTATTGGTATATGACTTAATCTTGGACATCTGGAAAGCATAAAGAAAATTAAATTCTGGTGTAGAAATTAAAGAAAAAAAGGGAGAAAAAAAGAAATTATTGCCGATGGAACTTACTGCTGAATATATTCCCCAAACAGCAACAAAATGATTTGTCTCATTTTTTTGCATAGGTATCAGGCATTGGAAACCTAGATTTTTCCAGTTTAACTGCCTGTCAAATATCAAGTTACTATAATATGTTACCTAATATACCTCAGTCTTTAAATAAAATAAAAAATTCCAAGATAACCTTAAAAATTATTTTTAATGTTCTCACCATTTACCAGTACATCAAGGGAACTTTAAAAATGGTCAGAGAAGACATATTGCTGACAGAGAAGTCCATCAGTCAGCACTTTGGCAAATATTTAGCTAGAGAGCTGACACAGTTCCCTGGTTTGTTTCTTGGCTGCTTGGCCACTCAAACATGAGGGACTAAATTAACCCTAAAAAATGCAGTATCAGCAGCCCCTTTCTGAAGAAGACGAAGGTTTGCAACACGACTGTTTCTATCAGCAAAGCTCACATGGCCTTCCCCTTCTGCCATTAACAACACTAAACGCTCACATCCCCAAAAGCATCTTACAAATTCATTTCAAGACACCTCACTTGGACTTTTGGGGTAGAATCTCCCCACAAACACAATTACTCTTTGCTTTGTCTTTCTAAGGCAGGTATGTTTCATTGCAAAATGCAATTCTGCATTCACACAATGCAATTCATTGAATGCAATTCTTAGCTGCTCCAGAATTAAAAAAATAAATAAAAAAATAATAAAAAAACAAGATTTAAGATTTTAAATAAGGTGCTATGTAAACAGCTATGAACCATGAACTGCTGCTGAGGGATCAGATGGGGCCGACGCAGTGAGCAAAAACCGAGTACAGGTTTTACACGCCAAAGCAGCAGCTGAAGAGCCCAGCTGTAGGCAACACTGATTGCACCGGCTTCACCAGTCGGGCCAGCGGGGCTTCCCGCAAGGGGCAATTCCCCTGCCAGCCTGGCTGAGCAGCCACAAGCTCGTTATAAACAGACACACACAATGCACATCTACACAAGGGAAAAATGCGCAGTCACGCCAGCTCTGGAGCCCGCAGCAGGGGCGCCCGGCCGCGCCGCCACGAGCAGCCCCCGCCTTAGAGGTGACCACCAGCCTGCGCCGCGCTAA